TTAAAGTTTCAGGAGTATTTATGTCTGGTTCCATACCACTGTGCATTTTTTTCATAGTGGTATTTCACTTAGCAGTTTCTCAAGATGAATTTACTGCCTCTTACTGTGTGTACTTTCCAAGTATAGCTCAGAATTGCGAAGATGAAGGAGGTGCACTATGCGAGAATATTTTTAAACATAATTCAGCTAGTGAATTTTCCACTGAAGAAACTACACGTGGCTCCAGTGTAGGCACAACAGAAGCGTCTACTAGAAACACTGATTCAGAATATACTGCTGAAAACAGCAAAGATATTCAAGACTCTACAACAGCTGACTTTAGTGAAATCACCAGTAATGCGTTCACGAGCACTGCTTCCGAATCTGAAACCTCTACGATCAAAAACACCCAAAGCTTTGTTACATTCTCTGCGTAAGCATTTTGAAACTTTAAATCGCTTTTTTTTTTTTAAATCGTTATTTCATCGATTTTTTCTCTCTGTTCTTAAAATAAAGCGTGTCAAGATAAAAAAACCACGCTTAGCTGTTTCAAGATAACTAGTTTATCTAAAACACTGTAATTTGTACTCATTTAGTAAGTCTTAAGCTTTTCCAAAAAAAAAATACTCAGTTTTTCTAGAACTAACAAACAAACTGAAAAATAAGTAAAAATTTGCGAATTTTTTAGAACACAAGTTCCAGAGAAATGTGTCAATAAGAGCTATCAAGGTTTTATTAAACTGTGCAAAAAAACTTGCTTCGCTTGCTGTTTGAATGAAAAAAATAAATGTGAAGATAACCCAGGTTAGCTGTACAGTTTTTTTTATAACACAGACTTTGCTAATGCTTTATAACTTCGCTCGATTGGTAATTTTATTATTAGGAAAACTGCAGTAAGTAACTTTGTTTATTACTTTATTTAATTCAGACTATGCGGCTCTCTGCAAATCTTATTCGAAAGAGTTGTGTAGCAGTACAAATCCACTTTATCAGACAATAGCACGCGAAATGTGTTCTATGACTTGCGGTACGTGCCTAGCTACGAGGGAATGTATTGACAAAGATTTGCACGTTTGTACCAAATTATCAGCGAAATACTGCGATGATCCTAAATATAAGTCGTTCATGGCTGAAGAATGTCCAAAAACATGTGGACTTTGCTACAAGCCAAGTGAGCAACAGAATTGTCTTGATTTATGTTGAAAAAGTTTACCTTTATCATCTAACAACTGCAAAATAAAAGCAATCTATTTTTTCTACATATATAATGCTATATAACTACTTAGCATCAGTTTAGAAAACTATTAACAGTAGCGAAAAAAAGGTACGATGTCGTTTACACGTCGCCAGCTTTCTCTCAGAAATCTTAACGCCGCTCTTACCTGTCATGAAACTGGAAACCTACCTGTATAAAAAAAACTCGTTCGTTTATTTATTTTTTACTGTTTTCTAGTATACGTATCTACTACTAGCGTTTTTTTAGGCGTTAATATTTGCACATTTCTTCTTTCTTTTTTTATCTTGAGAAAGTTGAGAAGATTGTTTTTAAAGATGTCACTCTTAGCACATGATTATAACATTATTTTTATTGCGTAATATCTGCTAATAAAGTTTTGCTACTGATAAAATCTTGAGCGTTTCGCACTTATAAAATTGAAGTTGTTAATAAACAGTCTATATTTTTATTGTCTGCAGAGCTGAGAAAAAACTGTCCTATTTTTAGTTCGTATTTTCATATGTACAGTATTCATCACCCTGTTCTGACAAGACCGCTGACGTTTGCTTATTGGCATATATGCAAGCGCTTTAATGGCATTGTACTAAAAGTGATTTGTACCACTTGTACCAGAAAGGTTTTGACCTAACAAGAATTTTCCTTAGTTCTATACCGTTAGAAATTGTTATACCTAGCGGTAAACTTTAAAGGTTGTAAAGTTGAAAAATCTCGATAAAAACAGTTACAAATTTCTTCAAAATTACTGCTTGCGTCAAGATAAAATGGTAGCTAATCAAACTAGCACTTACGACAAGTCTGAGATTAGGAAGGCGAATTCTTAACGAGATGTGTATTTTAGCATTTCTTCTAAATTTGTATTTTACAAGTAACGACTCATAAAAATTTTGAGGTGCAGTGTAAGTAATAGAGACTTCAACAATTGACATGACACATCTCTTTCATTTATTTTTTAAAAATTATTTTTATGTGCTCTACAATCTTTACCTGTAAAAAAAAAAAA